AAGGAGAGTCAGCTTTCAGGTTGCCCTGCTGCTGAGACTGAACCAATAATCTAGGAATTTTTGAGGTTTCTAGTGCAAACGGTTCCTGGAGCAGCTGGTATGGGTACAGGGAGCACCATCTGCTGGGTACTGCTGCACAGTGCAGCACCTCGATTTGGTAATTTCATGAATAGTTTTCTGTTCATGTCTAATCAATGCATTAATAAGATTTTTAGAAGCTCAGAGATAGTCTTATGTGCATCCAATCTCAAACAGACAAACAAACAAAAAGCAACCGATGGACCAACAAAAACCTTCTTTGTGAAGCTAGAAGAAAGGGAAGAATTGCCACTGAAGTAGCTTTGAAGTTGGTTCCTCCTCTCTTTTTTAAATTAACCCCAGAGATTCTTTTTTGTTTGTTTGTTTTTGAAATTTTTTGCTTGACTGTGCGCATATGCCACGGGATCACATGCCTGCGCTGATTCACTGGAACAACTAGAAGTGAACCACAGTAAACTAGACTGGACTTGGCTTAAGTGACCTCAGTGGTCACAAAGGCAACATGCTGATCCCATGAAAGAACCAAGTCTTCCTAAAGGCATTCTGACTCTTCTAAAGTCCCATCTAACCTGCACTCACGTTGATGCTAGGGCGGGATTGTGAGGAGCTTAGAAAAGGACATTTTTAAGCAAGCAGTGAAAGCTTTCATTTCTCTGGGCTCAAGCATCTATTATTGCTTTATGTTCTAGCATAATTTCATGTCTCCACAGACAGCGAGAATGACTGAAAAGAGATGGGAGAGAGCAAAGAACAGCTTTAGCAGCTCAAGGCAAACTTTTAGCTGGGGGCATGAGACAGCTGACTGGATGTGAGCTGGCCACATTCCAGCCTCTCACTGCAAGCTTTCTAACCACAAGCTGAGCACAGTCTATTATTTCTTAAATGTTTGAAAGCTGAGTCCTTCAAGAACCAATTAACACTTGGAAATAATCAACAAACAGACATGTTTAGACAGTAAAAATGTTTAAGCACAACCTCTGTTTAGCAGCAGCACTGTTTATTTAGTATTTAGTTTATTTAGTAGAAATCATGTTTCCAGAAGGCAGAAGCACCCGTTTGATCCAGTCAGTAGTTGCTGAACAGATACATTATCAGTTTGAGTCTCCAGAATGTGATGATCTGGAATTACTAAATTCTTACAGAGTAAGAATCACAGAATGGTTTGGGCTGGAAGGGACCTCACAGCCCACCCACCCCAACCCCTGCCATGAGCAGGGCTGCCCCCCACCAGCTCAGGCTGCCCAGGGCCCCATCCAACCTGGTTTTGAGTGCCTCCAGGGATGGGGCACCACAGCTTCTCTGGGCAGCTGTGCCAGCGCCTCACTGCACTCTGGGGAAAGAATTTCCCCCTGACATTTAACCTAAATCTCCCCTATTTAGTTTACAGCCATTTCCCTTTGTCCCATCACTATCACACCCTCCTACTTATAAGCTCCCTTCAAGATCTTGAAGGCCTGTCTGGATCCTTCTCTTCTCCAAGCTAAACAAGCCCAGCTCCCTGAGCCTATTTTACGAGGAGTGCTCCAGCCCTCTGATCATCTTGATGGCCTTTCTCTGAACCCACTCCAACAGCTTCACATCCTTCTTTTGCTGTGGGTCCTAGGCCTGGACACAAGCAATGGGAATTTGGATTATCAATTGGAATATTTCTTTTTGCTAGGTTATTTTCACATTTTAACATTTTAAAAGAAATGTCAGCAAGTTCTTCAAGTTCTTATTACAACATCAATCATAAGTATTAGACACAATCCTAAAAGCTTTGGCTTTAATCACAGCATACGAAATGGAAATGGCAGATTAGCACTTAGAAGGTAGCTAAAATTTGAACAGTGGAGGCTAATATCACCCAACATAGAATAAGGCTCACAAAATAGGTAGCTTGTCTTTTATCTTCAAGCTGTTGGAGTTGGAATGCTGGGTTAGGTGGGCCTTGTCTTCTAAGCCAACATAGCAAATCTTAAACAGCGGGCTGAAATGTTTCTCGATTCTTATTCTGCTGGCACTCATGAGAGTAATATCAAGTCATGAGGCTTCTTAGAGGCCAGAAGGCAAATGCTGCCAGAGAAAGAAACATCCAGACCTTGTAATTGTTGGAAAATAATGTAAAATCTCAACATTTGTGGTGAACCTTCTGTGATACTCTCATTTGAATACCGCTCTAAAAACTTCAAAGGATATACCTTGCAGAGATTCACCTGAGTAAAATATGCATTATCTACACTTTCTGTATTTCCACACACAGACACAAAAAAGGTTTGAAACATTAAGATATGGTTGGTGTGTGTTGGGTCAGTGTTCTACTTTCAGACTAACACATGTGTCATGCTGTCTTACAGAAATCTCACTTATTGCTTAGTTTATTACCTTCCATATTTAGGAACTTCAATATCGTACCTCTATTTTTTACTGTTTTATAGAGAACATCCTTTGACTGGAAATGCTGTTAGTACCACAGATGAGATGGCCCAGAGCCTTCTGCAGAGTTTCTTTGTTTGAAAGCATTCTTCTCTCCTCCTGTGTGATAGACCTTACAGCAGGTTAGACAAGAGTCTCACCCTGGAGATATAAACAAAAGCCAGCTATCTAGGTAACTTTGGATATCTTATCCTCAGCCATCTCTGTCCCACATTCTGGCTCCACATTTCAGAGCAGAAAATGTACACAAGCCAGTCTGACTGCCACTTGAAAATGAGGAAGAAATACCCTGGGAAAGGGAGTGCTCTGACTCTTATTTTCAGAGACTTCTCAGTGTCTAGATGCCACAACATGGTAGTATAGGGTATTTTTGGAATATGAAAAAAAAGCTGGATGCAGTAGATCTAACTTTTCATGTTTAATCTAGTTCAAACAAATTGTGCTGCTCTTAAATCATATACTGGACCAAGGTAGCTTTGTTGTTTATGGAGGGGGCCATCTTCCCCTTGTGCACCTTGGAGAGAGTCCACTTTACACAGAAGAAACAACAGATGCCTTCAGAACACAAAATTGTAAAAATACAAATTTTATTTGTAAAACTTTTGGGGAAAAGGACATTTAAAATACCATATTTCTTCAGAGATAAAGGCATTTTACAAGGACTATTCCTAGAATTCCATAGTACAACCCTGCTGTACATGGTCTTTAGTTCAATGTTGTTTGCAAAGATATCAGAAAGCTTTATTAACAATAAGATTGCTGTTCAAAGTAGACCCCTCAAAAAGAATGAAGAAGTATTAAAATAAGCAAAAGAGCTCATTGGTATTTTCAGCACAGCTCACCAGAGAACTTATATTTATAGACAGAATGCATTGTTAAATGTTATTTTCCCATTCAAGGAAAAATAACAGCAAAAATCAGCTGTATTTAAAACATGCAAGAAATAATTTTTAATAAATATTAATCACACCGAGGTGGTCATGCAACCAGCACAGACCATTGGCATCACACCAACACTGCCTCTAAGCCCAGGGCAGAGATCATTGCTGGCTGTGATTTCCACTGGGACAATATCACAACCTGAACTAAAGCAGCCTACATGTGTTGAGGCCAGCACCTAGACAGCTCCACCTTTCTGCTTACCCAGGTCCTTGGCAAGATTCATCCAGGAGCTGTAGGAAAGGATACATAAAATCTGACTGCACACAGAGGCTCTTTTTAGTGCTAATGTCCTGTAACATGCTACAATTCTGGACACTTCCCTACTCTAACTCTTGCTAACTAACCATAATGCAATCAGCACAAAGAAAGGGCGTGAACTGCTCAGAGGACTGGAGCCAGGGTCTCAGAACATCACAAGGTATTCAGTGCTTCAGTACTTCAGTGCTGACCATTGGCATACAGACAAAATACACAGACACAGGGAGAACTGCTTTGAGATTAAATAAATAACTCCTACTGAACATGTCTACAGAAATATACTGCCTTTTATTATTTGTTCAGCACTTTCCAAAGAGAAAAATACACCACAGGAGAAGCAGACAGTAACCTCATTGGGACTGCAGCTGAGAGTGGTAAAAACAAATGAAGGCTGTTTCTTTCCATTTCCCTGGAACACAGGGTATTGTGCAGAGCCACAGGATCCACTGGGCTGCTTTCAGCAGACTCTGCTTTGGGATTATCATGGGCAAGGCAAAACAGCATTATATGACACACTCTTGCCCAGTTTTCTTTGACAGGCATAAATTAAAATGACAAATTACTTCAGTCCAGATGAAGCTTTTTATCCCTTCTCCCATCTTCTAGTAAGAAGTCAAGCTACTCAATTACTGATTTCCTATTAAATGACAGTTCTATCTCTCATGCTATCCATTTCTCGCATGAAGGCATATGTTTCTTCATAGCCCAAGAGTTAGAGAACCAAGTCTTGAATTCAGAAGCCTTCAGATGATTTTCCTGTTCCACCAGAGACATCTGTGACATGTCCATACTGCCCAGATTTATCTCACTTTCCTCCAGGCTCTAAATCAAGCTGTATATGCTAAAACATGAACTGTCCTGGGCCCATTTTACAGTCACTGGAGAGAAAAAGGCATCTTCATATGGTGATAAAAATCTCATGTTAGATGAATCATCTGGGCTCAGATTTGTGGTCAAGTGTCCTGCTATTGGTACAAAGATCAGTCAGTTTGCTGTGTCATCTAGACACAAAAGAATATTGAACAGTTCTAATTTTGTCTCTTTATGTCCAATCCAATGGCTAGGAGTCATTGCAATGCTTATAGGGGTAGTATGAACAGGAGTTTCTCAGTACCTTAGTCTTCCCCACTTCCTATGAGGAAAATACGAAGTTCCTTATCCAAGAGTAATGTTGAAAGGATAATTCATTAGAAAATAATTCATGAGCTCAGCAAAAGACATTGGGAAGGAGAAGGTTGGGTTATCTTAGTTTAACATAAATGATTAACAAAGACGAAAGTATTTTAAGACAAATATATTAATTTTCCCCTGTATCCAAAATATATAAGTCAAAATGATGGCTTACATTACAAGTGCTTGTAGACAAAATTTCCCAGGAGTCCTGTAGGTTCAACCAGGTATTTACCTGATCTTTTCTTCTTCCAAATATAAACCAATATTAGAAGAAAAATCAGCACTAGTGCAACTCCAAATAAAACTCCAAGGACAATCACTGCCACTTTCCAGGAAGAACTTCTTTCAGTTGATGGAAGAAGTTGTCCAGTAGACAGAGCTGGAATTTAAAACACATTTTAGAGATATTAGTTAGAAATTATTGAAAAGGAGGAGTAGGAAAGCTTGGAGCCCAAAGTGACATCTACATTTTATTTCTGGACAGCTCTGAAACCTCTGAATAATGTAAAAATGTTTTTGTTTGAAGCAGAGCTTTTTTAAGTGGGAAATCTTATGGATCCATCTCCTTCTGAAGGTTGAGATCTTGAGATCTCTTGGTGGCACCTGTCATCAACAGATTTGAGGTTTTGTTTGGTGGAAAATGTCTGGATGGCTCTGGGAGAAGACAACTCCAGTTTGCACCTCAGAAAAAGTTACTCCAAGGTGTGAAAAACTGGTGTAAAAGGTAAAATGTACATAATTTAACCCTCAGTCCTTCTACTTGCACAAGCAACTTTATAAAATTATTTGAGATCTAAACTGCTAGTCCGTGGATTGCTCTATATGAAGACAGTGAGAGGGCTGTAAGGTGTGTAAACATATCTCATCTCTGTAATAAAGATGCACTTGGTGGAAGGGCACATAGACTAAAGGATAGTGCTAGCCAGCCTCTTATAAAAAACATTAACTAGGTCTGAGAGTGCGCCTGTGTTGCATGAAACCACCTCAGCTCACAGCAGCTCAATGCAAAAAGTGCTTTGCCAGTAGAGTGAGCACAACACATACCATATTTTGGATGAATATCCCTTTGCACAATTTCTGCTTTCCCCCTCTGCCTCTCAGCAGCTCTGCAATACTTCGTGTTACTAAATCCACACTGCATCTAACCAGGAAAGCAGGTGTCAAAGGGTTTTGAGAGTTGTCCATTAGACAAGAGGAACCCTTCCAGCACATCTGTACCAAGGGAAGAGTGTTATAGGTGCCACTACAGAAGAAATAGGGATTCTCCTTCCCTTCTTCGCAAATGGCACATCTCTTTCAGGATCTGTGTGGAGCATGTAAAAATGGCTACACACTACCTAACCCTCCTTCTGTGTAAAGATAATCCATTCTTATGGAAATGGCTAAGATATTTAAAGTAGATCTGTAATCTACATGATAGTTGGAATATGCTTTCTCTTTAAATAGATATGCAAATCTCTTAAAAAGAAGTTAATTTATCTGCTTTTTTACATAGAAGAAGATCTGATCCCCTAATCCCCAAACCACTACAGAAAAGATGTTTTTAGCATCACTTACATTGTACTGTTACTTCAGTTTGATCACCAAACTTGCTCTTTAATATTTGGCTTAGGTATTCCTGCACAATATCCACATCAACAGGCTCTTGTTTTTGCAGTACAGAAAGAAAATCAACAATCACACTCCCCGGTCTGAATCCAAGCACCATAATATCAAAATGATCATCTTTCAATTTGATGCGCATTTCTGAAACAATCTGTAGAAACAGGAATTTATGTTTGTCTCATTGTGTCGGTCAACTGAGATAAAGCAGGAATTATTGCATCAGGATATTTACTTTCTGAATTTCTCCTCCTTTCAGTGTTGCCTCATTGGAATAACGAACAGAATAATGACAGTCATTTTTTGTCAAGACCAATAAAATACTTATGGAAGGATTATTGTGGAGCAGAATGCAGTCTGCATTGAAAATATGAAATCAGACTTTGACTTTCAAAGCCGTAATCTGTTTAGTTAATCAGTATTGCATTGGAATTAGTTGTCCTTCTCCATAAGCTACAAACCCAACTGCGAAGGAAAAAAAAAGTACTTCAAACTATGCATAAGGCTTCTAAAATTATTGTTAGTTGCCCCTGTTGTATCTTTTTTTAAACAGCTCAACCTTGAGCATGATTGTCATGCACACGGTATCAGGGCAGAACTTGCTGTTAGAAATTTTGCCCTATTGTAAATTACTACCCAACTAGAATAGTCTACCTCTATTCTTCTCCTTGGAATAACCCCCATCTCAGACTACACATCCCTACAAACTACACTAAGATTATGTTTTTCTTTTGCCCACTGTGAAGAAAGATTTAGAAAGGAAACCTGGACTATGCAGATGAGTGTTAAAAAAAATCAGAACTATAATTATAGTGTAGCATCATCGTGGAATTTAAAATAAGTAATTCAATATTCTAATTGTATTTAAAAAAAAAAAAGCAGGCAACATTGAAACTGACAACATGTTCAGTCACGATAGTACATTTTCTTTGGTTTTATCAAATTTTAAAGAAAAGTGTAGAAATAATAAGAAAAGTGCAATATGCCAGAATAAATGAAAGTTTATTAAAAGGCAACAAAGATTTTTCTTCCATTCAGTCAGGTTAGCAGAAGCCTGTTAAACTGACTGAAGTCAATTCTCTACCCATGAGTTCGAGACACCAAAATTAATAAGACAATCACTTCTGAGATGGTGTTGTGAGATCAAAGTAATTACTGCTTATGAAATCCATAAGGATTTTTAGGTAAAAAGTAAAAATCACACTAAAAATATTTTTCTCTGTTGGTTACACAAAAGGAAACTATTCCAGTCTTACAACAGTGGTACCTTTCTAATGGATTCACATGTATCAGGATTCCCGGGTGCTGTGTAAATTGACTAGTCCTTTTCTTTAACATTCCCTTAAAGATGGCTAAGTCTGCTGCTTCTACATATCAGCTTTACTAGAGTCATCACCATCTTCAGTTTCTCCTTGATACAGTCTCCTCATTCCCTCCTCCAATCCACCAGCCACTACTCTGAAGAAAATTCACGATGATCTGGGCCAACAGTACCCACTGGTAAAGGTCCCATATTTCCCTGTGTGTTTAACTACTTTTTCCCCCCCTTCTCCACAGGCACATTTAGCATAGTAGAGGAAAATTAAGGAAATAGAAAGATGCTTGTGTTGTAAAAAAGAATTTTAAATCATCTTTCACTAAATACTGCACACTTGAAGACTAGGTAGGCAATGTACCCCTCCTCTCTAGGTGGCATGATTTGTCTCCTTTGGCCAATACAGTTGTTGTTGAGCAAGTGATTCATATGCTAGTTTATCGAGGAGGGATTATCTTTTTCTCCTATTGCAAATCTTGATTTAACGAAGAATGTAAGTGATCAGCATTGCTAATTTCAAAAAATTTTCCCAGCTTACTTTTAGTGACAAACAAGATTACAGCAACTTACTTCTGTTTTGATACTTTCAGACATCGCGTTGTAGCCTCCACTATCAATGTCATAAAGGGAATTGTTAAATGTCTGGTTTTTTAACAAAGCTCTGCAGGCAAAGGATTGGTAGCCTGAAAAAGAAAGAAAAATAAAACAGTATGTGAGTCCTGGGACACCACTTTACAGTTGCTTTATGGACTTTGTTTTCTCATGTTATCAGTATGTAACACTAATTGATAGAAACAGGATCTAATCAGATAGTAAGAAAGACGTCTATCACACAAGTGTTTACTGGCTTCTGAACCTTCAGAGTTGTCTCCTCTTCAAATTTGCCTGCCATCACAATCCTCACATTGTTAATCATTCCTATCTTGTTCAGGGCATATCCCACTCCCTCATTCAACAGTCATTTTCCAATTGATCTCAGCAGAAGTAAGATCAGCATGTTAGAGTCTGCAAAACACTAAGTATGCTTCAATCCTCATGAGTAGGTGGATAAGCTCTAAGCTAAAAGAAGTACACTTTACACAGAAAAGTCCTGTCTGAAAATAGAGATTCAGGCTGATATTAAGTCAGTTTCTTTACCAAAGAAATGTGAACTTCAGATGCTATGTGAATTGGCATAAGAAAGCAGATGACAAAACACTCATGAAAGATACTGTATTGTGAAATGATACTCTACAGTCATGAACAAATAAAGAATAAAATTATATAAAACCTACTTGAGCATATAATATATTTTAAGTCTGGACAACCATGATTCTGTGATAGGCAAAAATCAGTTCTGTTGAAACAGGAAACAGTATCTGCAAAATAAATAACAAAATCAAGAGAATTGCCTTTGTGCATGGATGATTACTGCTGAGAATGTGGAACTGCAGATAATGACAACTGAGTGTATCAAAAAGGAGGCAAGTGGTAGGTATGTAGGGGAAGTGCATAAAAGGGAACTCCACAGTTAACTTCTAGAATAATAGTCCTAGAAGGGTTTTGAAAGTAGTCTTACAGTCTCCTAGAGAATGGAAAAGACAGTTGCAACAAAGAGAGTTATATAGAGCGGGCAAGAAATGATGGTAGAAAGTAAGAATTGCATAAAGAAAAATTAGATATTTCAAAGTATATTAAAAGTGATAATGAGAATTTTCTCGGGGACTGGGAAAACATGATAAAGTGCAATATAATTTTATCAAAAGTAAATTGGGCTAACATAACCTAATCCTTTGACAACTTGATTAAGATCTTTTCCAATCTTTTCCAATAAAGTGCTAAATAATATTTTTAGAGGAAAAAAAATGTGTGTAAAGGAATAGGCTAATGGGAAGATGGAAACAAGTAGCTTCAAAAGATGAAACTTTGCATTGAAGGGGTATAACTAGTGATGTTTCTTGAGAGCCACTGAGAATTTGATTGGCATTTCCATAATAAATCCTGCTGGAAAATACAGGAGTTTTCTCACAAAATTTTCTAATGTCATTAAGTTAGCAAGTGTCATTAGCAGATGGGAGTACTGAGGTACTGTACAGAAAGAATTTGATGAAGCTAAGACCAAAGTAAGAGCAGTAGGATGGCATTTCCTGAAAGCTGGAAAATATTCGCTGAAGGTTGGGCATTTGAGGATTAATAACAGAAAAATCTTCTCTAACCCGGGGTTACAGACACTGAAAAGTGGCTCATTGCCTAAGCTGATCAAAGCTGTTATGTAGCTATGAAAAAAGCATGTGTATCTAATGCATTGCTCAATACATTTCCAGCAGAGATGAGAATATTAATGATATTGTAAGCACAGTGGTACAACCTTGTCTGGATTATTGTGTGTAATCCTAGTTGTCCACCTTCAAGCTTCTATTCTGAAGAAATTAAGAGTGATCGAGACTTTCAAGGGAACGAAGAATTATCTGGTTAATCAGAAATTTTACAGAATAAGCAATTACTCTTGCAAACTCCTGTTTAATCCACGCAGTCCCATCTAAGCAGATGAGTCAGATAAATAAAGAAAACTTACAAGATTAGTAGTATTTGAAATCAATTTCAAATCACATTGCAAAAAGGCATTCTAAGTGTATATCCATTAAAAACAAATGACAGCATGATCAAGGAAATACCTGTTCGGACATTCACTGAAGATCTGCTATTCTCAGCACAAGATAATACTTCCACAGATATTGTGTATACATGACCAGGAAGCAGATATTTAAATATTATTGTTGCCTCATTTGTAGTAGTTTTATTTATTTCTTGGATTCCATCCATGAGGAAGACTGTGTAGAGACTGTCTCTCTTGCCATCCTCTGAGTTCCAGCTAAGTTGTATTGCCTCCCCAGTCACATTCTCAACTTTAATGAACACTGGCACTGCAAAGTAAAAACGATTCATGCAGTTGAGGGGGATTCTGTTCATTTATGCAAGTCTAAACATTTAGTATTTAACCAAATAGCGTGAAATAAACCACAGTCATTTTGTCAGACTGCCCCTCTGCTGCCATCTGTCACATAGCAGATGTGAGATGGAAATGGAACAGAATGTTGGCAGGAAAATTCAACCTCCACTGCCATATCACCAACATCCACCTCTGATGTTGTGGGCCAACATAGTAAAATGGAGGTGTTACTTTTGGAGCAGTCCAAAGAAATGTACATTATTTGGTGACTCAAAAACATAAATGGGTATAATTTCTCTTGTTTCTAGTCTCTCCCTTCACAGGCAAGGCAGCTGCTCTGATCAATGAGTGTACTGAGTTGGGCTGCTATCTGACTGATACTGACATTTGATATCATCAGGAGGATTGGTTACTAAAAATTTGGCAGGACACCTGAAGTTCAGAGCAGTAAGCAGACACTTAATAAATGTGATTCACAGCAACATTACAAAAATGGTCTATCATAGTGGTTTATCCTTGGAGGTAGGCATTTTCGTCCATGACGAACATCATGGTGTTCAGGATGGCTTTACCAAGATGTAGAAACTTCCTTGACTGATATTTCTATATCAGCTTCCAATGGTTCTCTCAGGCTATTCTTTAAGAAGCTGTGTCTTGAAATTTTACTTCATAGCCAATATGACTGATGAACAAAACTATTGTAACTAATTTCAATAACTAATTTCAGAAAAAAAAAAAATTCTAGTGTTCAATATTAAATATTTACTCACTGCAAGATCCTGATGTGAATGTGGTAGCAAAAACAGAACTAGTTGTGGTTCCTGTAGATCTACCCATAGCACTTTCTGGAGGGACTGTAGTTATCTGTTCTGTAAAATAGAAATTTGGAGGCTGTATGCAAATTTTTAAAGCTGACAGACAAAAAAACAGTTTAAAGACATAAAACAGTTACGTGAAGGTGGATTCTGCTTTAGTTGGCAAACTCTCCCTGGAACTCGGGGACTGTTATCTGTGAATCCTTCATTGCATTGACAGGAATAAGTTGCTCCTTCAGCAGTGCAGATAGCATTTTGTGAGCAGTCATTTAATCCTGGCTGACAACTATTCCTTGCTGCAGTGTGTGGTTAAACAAAATGGAAAAAGAAGAATATTTTAAATGAGCACTGAAAAAAAGAAATGAACAGAATACTATTCACAATTGCCTTGTGCCACTTAAATCCCATTTCACTGAATTCTGCCATCAGTGAAAGGTACACTACTAAGTTGATGAATTCATACCTTCTATAACAGTCTCTTTAAGATCAGCTTTCAGTACTGTACTCATGTTAAGGGCCTCTATAAAAGCATCTGAAATCTCTGTCTTTGTTAAATTTTCTCCTTCATCCAACACAATGCTGAAGAATGCAATCACACTGCCATTCCTGAGGCTATTAATTACAATACGCATTTTTTCTTCCTCTATTAATTTCAGGATCGTTGGTGGCAGATGCTTTTTAATCTGAAAGTAAAAAGTTTAAGTTATTATCTTTTTTCTCCTTTAACACCAAGAATTGTTATTGCAATAAGCTGCTCTAATTCATTTTGAGGCATGTATTATAGAAGGGGAGTACATATATCAGCTAGTTAGAATTACTTTTAATTATGGCTTCAGAGGACCACAACATAAATGAGAATTAAGGCCTAAACAAGTGTTGCTTTGTTTATAACCATCATATTCTTTTTATAACCACACTAAAGATTATTCATACCTGGATCCTCATGCTTACTGACATTAAAAAGAGTGCAAGAGAAAATGAATCTTGGGTTAGAATTCCTAAGCAAAATACCTCCTCAGTGAACTTAGCTTCAAATTGCTTAAATTCTGTACTTGATTTGTTCAGGTATTCAGGTACGAAGTCTTCATTGGTAATCCTAGTCATTCCATTGAAGACTTTAGCAGCTGTGGAGATATAAAAGACAGAATAACCAGCAAAAGCAAAGTTGCTCTTTAAAAATAGCTCTTCAGCTAAAATCCTCTAAGGGCAAGAGTAAACCAGAGGTAAATGTAGACAAGTGAACTCCCTGCACCCCAGATGGCCATAGCATAACGCGTAAGTACTTTGTGCCACTCACTGACCAGTGTATCCCTCACCTTTTATTTGAATGTGTCATTGAGAGAAGAGGACAAGGTGTTACACGAGAAAGGATATCACTGGGCTATGTGCCTCACATCAAGGCAACTTGAACACCATGAACAGACTTGCCCTTGACCTCCACTGCATTGACTGCTCCTTCCAATATGTTGCTCCATGTACCAGACACAGTTACTCCTAAAATCACAAATCATGCTATGCAATGGGAAGACAGAGGAAGATTCCAGGTATTTCAATAGTTCAGATAACTACACTGGTAGATTTTACTGCCATCGTTTGTAAGCATAGGGCAGATGCTTGCTGGAGAAGAAGCTGGGATTTGCAAAGGGAATAGTAGGAGCTGCAAGACTCCAGGATTTCCTTAGGTTACAGGGAGATTATGGCTTTAAATCTGCTGTCTGCCATGTAACTGGGAACTCAAAAGAGAACACAAGTTGCATGTGAATAGAAGGGCAGGCTTGGGAACTGAACAGTGTGGAGTTGTGAGAGATGGGCATGTTGAACACTGGTTGTAATTCAGCAAAATCTTGAATTTGGCAGAATGGTAAGGGGAGGCTTTGGACCTTAGTTGCATGAAAAATGTGAAGGTTAGCTTTTAGTGTCTGGACTTTTGGCCTCAGTTTTCCTGTACATTTCAATTTATAGTTTATTCATGTCCAGGACAGTGCCCAGTGAAATGGCCTTCGCTGTCAGGCCACGTGTATGTTAGTGTGCTAATGAAAAAATGGAAAGATTTCAAAAGAAATACCTGTCCGAACGGTCATCGACGTGTTGACATTCTTAGAGCAAGTTAAAACATTCACAGATATTTGGTATTCATGATCAGAGACCAGACCTTCAAATGCAGTACTAGTTTCATTTAAGTTTCTATTCTCCATTTCTCTAGATTCGTCCCAGAGATGCACACGATAAGGACTGTCTCTTCTGCCACCTTGAGGTTTCCAGCTGAACTGTATTGTTGTGCTGGTCACATTCTCCAGCTGTATGGAGAGAGTAACCGGAGCTAAAAAAGAAAAGCAAATCCCTGTAAGATATGTTGTTGATATAGGTGTGCTGAAAAAAAAAGCACTAATGAAAAACTCCTTGCATTAAAAAAAAAAAAAAAAGTCTCTGCAATGTTTTTGTAAACATGTGAAATTCCACGTACCACAACAATGCACATGGCTATCGCCTATTGAATCCTATGACAGCAATAGAACAACAAACAAGGGTAGTATGAAACTCTTTGTTTTAAAACAGGAAGCTTATTACTTCCCTCAAAAAATGAAAATCATAAAAACAGAAGCATAATTTATTAAAAACTTGTGAAAGAAAAAAAGAGCAGTAATATTTTATTTCATTCTTTATATTTACCTGAAAAAATGAAGAACATAAATTAAAGCAACATAAGCAACATACATGAATCACAGAGAGAAAAAAGGGGTAAAAATTTTTTAAAAATGGGAAAATAGAAAAAAAACAAAAAGAAGAACAAAATATAAACAATAAAAGCAAAAAAAAATTTTTGTACATTACTCCAAATTAAAAAATCATACTAAAGAAAAAAAAAAAAAGTACATATTAGCAATAATTTCAGATCCAGATTAAAAAAAAAAACAAACGTAGACTTCCCTGTGTTGAAAAGAACCATAATGATCATCTAGTACATATCACCCTGTAAGGTGCACAGTCACAAATAAATAGACCAGGCTGTCAAGAGACACATAAAGCCTGACTTTCAAGAAATAAAATGGGATATAAGAAAGAGTAATATAAAAAATGACAGAAAACCAGTATGAAAAAACTCATACTAAAAGAAAATAAAAAAAATAAAAGAGATAAAGACAAATTAAAAAATTAAATCCTGAATGAAATATGAAAACAAAATGAGAATCAAACAAGACATACACTGAAATGAAAAAAAAAAAAAAAAGAAAAAGAAAGAAAGAAAAAAAACTTCATAAATTAAAAATAAAAAATAAAAAACAATTAAAAAAAAAATATCACTCACAGCAAAATTCAGGTGAAGCTGACTTGATTGAAGTGGACGGAATAAAATTCGAGAGAGAAGAGGGATGCAAAGACGTTGTAGAGAAAGATAACGAGGAGATATGCGTTGGGGAAATAGAGCCAACAGTGCCACTCGCCGTGGCAATGCCTGTGGAGCTGGTGC